GAAGGAGGAAAGTCAGAGGGAGAAGCAGACTCCCTGCTGAGCAGGGAGCCTGATGCGGGACTCGATCCCGGGACTCCAGGATCATGACCTGAGCCGAAGGCAGTCGCTTAACCAACTGAGCCACCCAGGCACCCTCCTTTTTTTTTTTTTTTTAAGATTATTTATTTATTTATTTGACAGAGAGAGGGACAGCGAGAGCAGGAACACAAGCAGGGGGAGTGGGAGAGGGAGAAGCAGGCTTCCCGGCGAGCAGGGAGCCCGATGCGGGGCTTGATCCCAGGACCCTGGGACCATGACCTGAGCCGAAGGCAGCCGCTTAACAGACTGAGCCACCCAGGCACCCCCTCCTTTTTTTTTAGAGGTGGGGGAGGGACAGAGGGAGAGGGAAAGAGAGCCTCCTAAGCAGGCTCCACACCCAGCACAGAGCCCCACGCAGGACTCAATCTCATGACCCTGAGATCATGACCTGAGCCGATATCAAGAGTCAGATGCTTAACCGACTGAGCCACCCAGGTGCCCCTGTAACATTTTCTTTATACCCATGTATTCACACATGTGAATGATGATAATATCTAACCCTGAAGTAGAACTTCTCATATGCCAGGCATAGTTCTAAGTGCTCTGTGTATATTCATTCATTTACTCCTCACAACAATCTGATACAGTAATCCATTTTACAGATGAGGAAACTGAGGCATAGGAAGTCAAGCATTTTGTTTAAAAAATTTATTTATTTGAGAGAGGGTGTGTGTGTACTCGTGTGTGCGCGTGAGCAGGGGGAGGAGCAGGGGGGAGGGAGAAGGAGGGAGAAAAAATCTGAAGCCGACTCTTAGCTGAGCATGGAGCCCAATGTGGGGCTCAGTCTCACAACTGTGAGATCATGATCTGAGCCGAAACCCAGTCAGACACTCAACCGACTGAGCCACCCAGGTGCCCCAGGAAGTCAAATAATTTGCTCCAGGAAGTCTGGTACAAGAATCTGACGGCCTTAGCAAAAAAGCTAGGAGGTCATGGTGTGCGTGCGTGCACACACACACGAGATTTTATACACACACAAATGCATATAAATTTACATAATTGCATAAATGTGATCATATACATGTTTTAATGTGTTTTAAATTTTTCCTTTAAAATTTTTTCCTCCCCCAACCATGGAATCCATGTTATCACCCAATGTATGATTTTCTATATTTTTACTTATTCACAATTATACATGGACTTATAGATACTTATAAACACGTGTACTTATACAGGGTTTCTTTTGTCATTTTTTTTAAGTAGGCTCCGCACCCAGAGTGGAGCCCAATTCAGGGCTTGAACTCACGACCCTGAGATCAAGACCAGAGCTGATATCAAGAGTCCGATGCTCAACTGACTGAGCCACTCAGGCACCCCCCTTTTGTCATTATTTTAAAATAGTAGATCGGGGCCCCTGGGTGGCTCAGTCGGTTGGGAGTCTGCCTTTAGCTTGGGTCATGATCTCAGGGTCCTGAGATCGAGCCCTGCATCAGGCTCTCTGCTCCGCAGGGAGCCTGCTTCTCCCTCTCTCTGTCTGCCCCTCTGCCTACTTGTGCTCTCTCTGTCAAATAAATAAATAAAATCTTTAAAAAAAATAGTAGATCATCCCTAAAACAAATAATACCTTATATGTTAATAAAAATATTTTTAAAAAAATAGATCATCTTAAATAAATCATTTCTGCATCTTTCTTTTCTCATTCATCTCTACCTGGAAGCCCCTGACAGATCTAATTCACTGTTGTTAACAGCCACACATCAGGCCACCCACCATGTCTTTCCACCTGGTCCTCCCTGCTCGTGGTCCTCTTCTAGAGCCCCCCAACGTGCTTTGTTTCTTGACTCCATTAGGGAATCTGATGGAAATTCCAGGCCAGATGAGAGGAAAGGACAGTGAGAGGGCAGCAAGTGACATTTCGGGCTGGGTCTTGCCTACCCTCCTGCAGGTGGCCCGCAGCCCTCGGCCCTCAGAGGCAGGAATGCTGACTGTGTTATTGTGAAATCATTTGTATATTGTGAAGTGCTTTGCATAGGATGGAGAGATTTGACAAAGGGTGGGGGGGTGGCATCTTTGAGATCCCAGAGCAGCATCCACGATTGTCTTCCTCCCTTTGCAAAGAAACCAACCCAGGGCTTCCACTTCAGAACTCAGGGACAGGCCCAGGAGAGCGTTCTGGCCGACCTATGGGCCCGGTGTGCTGAGGCAGACAAGAGGCTTTCGGAGGAAAGCTGATCCCATCTGGAAGGAGTTGGGGGGTCGAAGAAGAGCAGACATTGGAGTGTGAAGTGGAAACAGGGCACCAGGTGCAGTGTGTGAGAGCCCAGTGTGCCCTCAGAGTCCTCAGTAGGCAAGAGCCACACAGGACAGTTGAAGGGAGCTACCAAGCTACAGGAGGGTCAGAGGCTTGGAGACCCCCATCCCGAGGCAATCTCTGAATATTATATAGTCTTGCTTGATTCCCAGAGAGAAAGACTCCCACCCCCTAGAAGTGACAGGTGCTCTCACATGCTCTGGGTTCAGGGACACCCAGATGCAAACCTGGCTCTGTCATCTGTGCCACTGTGTGGCCCTGGGCTAACAGTACACACCTCAGTGGGGTCAAAGGACTCAGCGAGACAGTGCAAATGGAGTGAATGGCACGTAGTAGTGTTCAGTAAATAATGCTATTGCTTGCTGCCCCAGGCTGGGGTCAGGCCTAGCTTCCTCCTGGTGAGGGAAGCACAAGCGACAGCTCCCCCAGGTCTGGGGCTCCGAGCAGCAGTATCAAGACACCATGCATTGGACCCCAAAGGGTTACAAGCCCTGGAGACAAAGGCCTGAGGTTCCCAGTGAAAAACCAAAGCATAAAAATAATTCGATGAGTAAGAATAAAATTCCCTCTTCTGAGGTTCCCGGGGCCAGGCCCCTCCCTGCGGCAGGCACTTCCCCTTTCCCTTGTTCATGGAGGAGCCAGGCCGCTTTGACTCAGAGCTGGAGCGCCCGAGCCAGGAACCCACCCGACCCCGGGCGGGCTCCCGGCGGCGCCTGCTAGCAACCGAGCGCGCCCCCGTGCGGCCGCGGGCGGGACTGCGGCCCGAGAGAGGAAGCGGCGGCCAGACCCGCAAGCCCAGCCACCCAGCCGCTCGCGGTCCCTGCGGGGCCGCCGCCCCCGCCCTCCCCAGCCGGGCTGAGCGCCTTGCCCCTGGGGCTCCCACTTCCGCCCGGCCCTCCGCGCCGTCTCCCTCCCCCGTCCGCCCGGGCGGAAGTGCGCCGGCCTCCCGGGTCCCCCACGGCCGCGAGGCGGAAGCGCGCCTCGACCGCCGCTCCCCCCCCGGCCCCGCGGCGCACTGCGCATCGGGTTCCGGACGGGTCCCGTGTGACGTGGCCGCGCGCCGGGGGCGGCTCTGGGCTGGGGGGCCGGGAGGCCGAGCCGGGCGGGGCAGACCCGGGGCGGGGCGCGGCGCCGCTGCTGGATGGCCGGGGCCGCCCGGAGCGCCGCCGCCGCCGCCGCTGCACGGTGAGTGACCGCCCGACCCTCGGGGACCCGCGCCCCGGGCGGGACGCCCCGGCCGCTCCCCCACACCCCCCGGCCCCCGGCCCTGCCGGCCCCGGGCTAGACTCGGGCTTCTGGCCCCCCTTCTGGCCCAGAGCCGGGCAGTTCGACTTCTTTGGGCTCCTCTTCTCCCCTGTCGCCCCGCACGTCGCTGCCCATCGCTCCCTCGCTTTCCTCCTCCGCGTCCGTCTCCCACTCTGGCTCTCTCACTCCTGACTTTGTCTTGTTTTCTCCTTTCCCTCTCCTCTCTCACTCTCCCTACCCCGTTCCCCTCTCCCCAGACTGCGGTCCCCGCACCTCTGCGTGTCCCGCCTTGGCCTCCAAGTCTGGCTTGGCCCAGTCCTGCCTTTGGTCCCCAGGGAGCCCCGGCGGGGTTCGTCAGGGTCCCCCGTAAAGGCCCGGACCTCCTGGACAGAGGCATCTTTTCCACCCTCCCACCTCCATCAGGGGATGAGGAAACTGAGGCAGGGGCATCGCTGGCTCAAGGTCACGGCCAGATGAGGCAGGGCAGACCACATTTAAACCTCACACCCGAGTTTCCAGATTGAACTTCTCTGTTGGTTGACTCACATCCACGTCCTGTGATCCAGCGTCTGGGAACCTTCCTTCCGGGGGTGCCCCAGGCCGCCTGCAATATAAGGAGGGCTTTCCCGTGCCTCCTCCATTGCCAGGCACGGTCACTGGCCTTAGCAAGCTTCTCTCATCTTCACAGCCTGTGAGGGAGGCAGTTCTTCTCTCATCCCACAGACAAGGAAACTGAGGCCCAGAGAGGGGCTTCGGGGACTTGCCCGCACTCAAAACGCTGTAGGTGCAGAGCACAGAGTTCCGGGTTGGTCTCCAAAGCCTGTGCTCTGCACATCCTTGACGCAGCTCCTGACTGAAGGATCCTTCTCTTCGGTTCCACCTCCTGTCTGTCTCTGCACCCTGGGGACAGGGGGCTCACTGCTGAGGAGGAAGCTCTGATGGTTCTGCCCTAGCTCCGCTGCTTGCTTTCCGCACCTGCACCATCCAGTGTTGCCCAAAAGGCCAGACAGTGGCAGCCTCAGTCCCCGGGGTGTCCTCGCTGGAGCACATCCCGGCCGCAGAGCCTCTCCTGGCAGCTAGAGACACCCGACTGGGCTGGGCCTGCCGGTGGCTGAAGGGAACCCAGCCAGCGCCTCACCCCGTCATTAGGGAAAGTTTAGCCCCAGGCAGATACGCTGACACACAGTCTGGAGTAGGCTCGGGAGGAAAAACTGTGTGGTCCTCGGGAGTGGGGTGTGAAGAGTAGAGCCCCTTTGCTCTGTGCACCCATCATTGGGGTCCTCAGAGGCCCTGGGCAAGGCCGGCGGGAGAGTGGATGCCATGGCCGCTTGTCTGGGGGGAGGGTTAGGAGGCCACGTTTGCTAAGCAGGTGTGCGGCCAAGGGTGGCAGCTCACGTAAGAGGCTTTGTGTTTTTCAGCACGTGGCATGCCTGCATGTCCCTGTCCTGGCTGTGGCATGGCGGGCCAAAGGCTCCTCTTCTTCACTGCGCTTGTCCTAGAGCTCCTCGGAGGGGCTGGGGGTTCCCAGCCGGCCCTCCGGAGCCGGGGGCCTGCAGCTGCCTGTCGCCTGGACAACAAGGAAAGCGAATCCTGGGGGGCCCTGCTGAGCGGAGAGAGGCTGGACACCTGGATCTGCTCCCTCCTGGGCTCACTCATGGTGGGGCTCAGCGGAGTCTTCCCACTGCTCGTGATCCCCCTGGAGATGGGGACCATGCTGCGCTCAGAAGGTAGGTGACCCTCCTCTGGCGCCTGGGGCCCCGGGAGAGTGGGGTCCCACATCTGTCTGGGGTGGAGGGCAGGGACAGAACACATAACTTCTCACCTTGTGAGACCAGGGTGCGCCACGCTCATTTGTTCGTTCACGTGTGCATTTGTTTATTCTGAAAGAATAAAAGCCACCAAACATTCACCAAGAAATAATATAGATTGTGGTTGGAAACATGGGTGCCAGGCCGCTTGGGTTCCACGCCTGGTTCTGCCACTCACCAGCTGGTAGCATGGGGCAAGTTACTTAACTTTAGGCTCCCATCCTTAAAAATGGGGATAAATACTAGTATTTGCCTCATAGGTGCTACTGTGAAGAGGAGAGGAGCTCATACGGACGGAGCACTCAGAAGGGGCCTGGGTGCTGGGGGGGGGGGCGCGCACCGCTATGTGCTGGCGAGCCATGTGCTGCCCCACCCTTAGTGCAGAAAAGCCCCCCCACGCAGGGCCCCTGGGTTGGCCTTACCCAGGAATACACGAGAGGCTGGTGGCAGGCCGCCTCTGGGGAGGGGACCTGGGGGGCGGGGCACAGGCCGGGGCAGAGGCTCCCCTTTGGCGCCTCACACGCGGCTGTGCACTGTCAATGCACAGATGACACGTCGTAACTCGTAATGAAAACTACAGAAGACTAGATGGGTAGCTGCTGAAAGTGCAGGTGCCTGCTGCCCGTCCCAGGAGTGCGCCATAGCAGGCCTGGCCCTGGGCTCCAGCAGTCTGTTCGGAATGCGTGCTCCAGGGGTTTCTGCCGCCTGCCTGGCCCGGGAACTGTGCACAGATGGTTATGAGCACATCTGTGGTGCACGCGGGCTGAGGGCTGGCGCCACAGCTGTGAAGAGAGCCCTCATGGGGCCCTGCTGCCATGGCCTGTGCAGCATCTCACCCCTCTTAGAGTGCCCCTGCGAGGTCAGCCTCCGGGGGACTGGGATTTTTAGCTCCATTTCACAAATGGGGAAACAAAGGCACAGAGGAATTCTTTGACCAGGCTGAGGTCACAGAGCCTGGAAGCTGCAGCTTCCCCTGGGATCCCACCTGACCCCCCAAGTGGCCTCTGCCCTCTGGGCCTGTTTTTCTATCAAACCAAGCGTTTGGAGACAGCCTTCCGGCACTTCCAACTCTTGATGCTGCAAGTCTGCAAAAGTCCCCGAATCTCTGCCACTTTTCTGAGAGTAACAGTGACTGAGAAGAGAGAAATTCCCACTTAAAGAGCGCTTGCTATGTGTATTGTCATTTAATTCCCACAAGGTCCCTATCAGATAACAATCATCCCCGGTTTACAGATGGGGAAACTGAGTCCCAGAAGTAACCTGCCCAGGGTCACCAGCTGGTGGGTTGGGGAGCTGGGACCCATCGGGCTCCCACACCCTGTCTCTTAACCATGAAGCCGTAGTGGTTCCACAGTCGTCCAGTGGGTCGTGATGTATTTCCTGCTGAGCACCCAGGCAGGCCTTGGCCTGGGGGTGGGGGTGGGAGGTTGGGGCGGGGGGGCGATCCAGGAAGGGCAGCAGGCCAAGTCCAGCCTTCTGGAAGCTTGCAGTCTGGTTGGAAATACGCAGCGCCCAGCAAGCTGGGTGGGGCAGAGGTCTGGCCGGGGGCTCTGATAGGCCAGCCCCCAAGCCCCGCATCTCCGTTCTGTAGCTGGGGCCCGCCGCCTGAAGCAGCTGCTCAGCTTTGCCTTGGGGGGACTTTTGGGCAATGTGTTTCTCCACCTGCTGCCCGAGGCGTGGGCCTACACATGCAGTGCCAGCCCTGGTGAGTGAGGCCACAGTCGGGGGGCTGGAGGGCAGAGGGAGCTGGTGCCCACGCCCAAGGTTGGCCTAGGCCCTGCCTGCTCTGCCAGAATGACTGGGAGAGGGGATCTGGGCATCTGGCAGGGAACTCGTCCTGCTCCAGCACCCTGGCCCCTGGGGGAGTCCCTGGGGCCCAGCTTCCCCACCAGCCAGTCCTGTCCCGCTTCCCCTGTCACTGCCCCTGACGAGGTCCCATTCCAAATGGCCCCCCGCTTCTGTGGCCCTGGCTTGGCCTGGCCTGTCAGTGCTGCCCCCTGCAGGTGGTGAGGGGCAGAGCCTGCAGCAGCAACAGCAGCTGGGACTGTGGGTCATTGCTGGCTTCCTCACCTTTCTGGCGTTGGAGAAGATGTTGCCGGACAGCAAGGAGAAGGAGGGGACCAGCCAGGTGAGCCCCAAGCCCCGGGGCCTGGACAGGTCAGCCTCTGTGATGTGGTGCCAGGGCCTGGAGGCGCAGGTCCTGAGTTGAGCCCTGAAAAGAGGGTCTCTTGGCCGTTCCCTCGGGGCTCTGGGAGGCTGGGCCAACTGGGAAGATACGGGGAGTGACAACGTGGGCCCCTGCTGTGGCTTGTTCTCTTAGACTGGGAGTGACAGCGGCGTGGAAGGTGGTCAGTGGAGCCTGGGGGCACACAGCTGACTGAGCAACAGAGAAGTCTAGCTAGGCCAAAGGGCTGTTTCCTGCCTCTGTGTCTCCATCTCCCACTCCCCTCCTGTGTCTACCCCGGCCAAGTGGGGGAACATCTAATGTTCCCTCTCCCTCCTTCTCCTGGCCCTAGGCCCCCAGTAAAGACCCCGCTGCTGCTGCTGCTGCCGCGCTCAGTGGAGGCCACTGTCTGGCCCAGCCGGCTGCAGAGCCCGGCGTGAGTGCTGTGGTCCGGACCATCAAAGTGAGTGGCCCACTCAGGGCCCCCTCCTCCTGCAGCTGTCCCCCACCCCCCAGCTGGCAGGCCCAGCTGAACCCTGCCCGCCTGGCTCAGCCTGGCTTCCTCTCCCCTCACGCAGGTCAGTGGCTATCTCAACCTGCTGGCCAACACCATAGACAACTTCACTCACGGGCTGGCTGTAGCTGCCAGCTTCCTTGTGAGCAAGAAGGTGAGTGGGGGGTTGGGCCAGGTGGGCCCCAGGCCTTTCTGGTGGGAATGATGGTGCCTGTGTTGACCAGTTGGCTCTGCCTCCAAAATAGGTCTCCAGTCTGTGCACTTCCCACTCTCTCCATCACCAACACCCTCATCCAAGCCCTGAGGGCCCCTGCACGTGGCCGCCTTTTGTCTGAGCCAGTGGTCTGTTCTTACTGTGAACACTCCTTGTTGGGATTGCATACCTCTGCCAGGCTGCTAGGCTTGGGCCCTGCTCGCTTCTAGATGCTTCTCACCCACTTCTTCCCTCGGCCGTCTCTGATATTAGTGGTCTGCCTACTCTTGAGCTGGCCTAGCTCTTTCCCCTCTCCTGGCCTCCACTGCACACTATTCTATCTGCCTGGAATGTTCTTCCTCCCACTCTTTGAAATCCTGGCTCCTTATCCTTCAGGCCTCGGCTGATACGCACTTCCTCAAAGAGGCCTCTGCTGGCCCCTCATCTAAATGAGGCTCCTGTCACTCATGCCCATGCCACCCGGTCCATCTCTTCCCCCACAGCACCTGTCACTGTGTAATCTTGTGGTTCTTTGTGTGTTCATTCAGTCCTCGCCTCCCCCTCCAGACTGTTAGCTCTGTGAAGACAGGTTCCTTGTCTGCTGTATTTCTAGTAGCCACATGGTGTCCAGCCAGTGCACCCCGCAGAGTAAATATTTGTAAACTGAATGGACAAAAGTGGGTGCCTGGCCCTCAGCCCAGAACCCCACAGACTCCCTTCCCTGCAGATTGGGCTCCTGACCACCATGGCCATCCTTCTGCACGAGATCCCCCACGAGGTGTGTGCCAGAGGGTTTCCATGGCAGCAGTGTGGGCGTGGGACTTGGGAGAGGGACTTGGGGTGGGAAGCCCAGAAGCAGCAGGCTTGGGGACGAGGCTTTGGAGGCCTGGAGCTGCTCAGCCCACCAGGCTGCGGCCACCATCTCAGCTGTGCTCCAGCCTCCGGGTGGGGGTGGGGGGTGGTGGTGAATGGGGTCCCAGCCTCGGCGATGCGGCCTGGGGGGCTCAGCAGCAGGGCCGGTGCAGGGGGCTCGGTGTGCAGGTCCGTACCCGACCCCCTGGGGCCCAGAGTGATCATCTGGACCTCCCCTCAGGTGGGCGACTTTGCCATCCTGCTCCGGGCCGGCTTTGACCGATGGAGCGCAGCCAAGCTGCAACTCTCGACGGCGCTGGGGGGCCTGCTGGGCGCCTGCTTTGCCATCTGTACGCAGTCCCCCAAGGGAGTAGGTACGGGCATGGTGGGTGGTGGCGGCAGGTGGTGGTCAGCAGAGGGGCCCTAGCCAGAGGGCACAGCTGCCCCGGCCCGGTGTCCAGGCCAGGATCCGCCCCCAAGTGTCCCCCGTGGGAGCGGGTGCTGCACACGGCTTGCCTGGGCCCCCAGCCGGTCGGGACTTCTGCTCCCACTGCAGAGGAGACCGTGGCCTGGATCCTGCCCTTCACCTCTGGCGGCTTTCTCTACATCGCCCTGGTGAACGTGCTGCCCGACCTCCTGGAGGAAGATGACCCATGGTGAGTGCCCATCACCATCGCCCCCCGGGGCATTGGGGGGGCGCTTCTGGGCTCTGGCCTGTCCTCAGCGCCTCCCTGAGCCCGGCCCCGGCCCCTCTCCCCACAGGCGCTCCCTGCAGCAAGTCCTGCTGCTCTGCACAGGCATCGTGGTGATGGTGCTCTTCTCGCTCTTCACGGGGTGACCGCCCCTGACGGCCCCCCCCCCGCCCCCAGCAATAAGAGACTCGGATTCAGTCTATGACCGTGTGTGAGGCACGGGGCGAGTGCCTGAGAGCGCCCCTCTGACCAGATTAGAGGACGGGGTGTGCGCACGCGCGCATGCGTGTGTGTGTGTGTGTGTGTGTGTGTGAGACCAGAGGTACGCGTGAGACCGACACTGTGACCGTGCGCTGGGCCCAGGGCCCGATGCCCGCGCCCAGCCGCACTGTGGTCTTGTCTCCTTATCCCGTCATCCGGCACTTCCCGCGGCGAGCACTGAGGAATAGCAGCCCTGCTCCCAAGCGGAGGCCTCTCCCCACCAAGACCACAGAGGGAGTGAGAAGAGCCCCAGGAGCCCAGGGCTTCGGGGAGCCCAAAGCTGTCTCCCTCTGGGGCCTTGGGGTTCCTGGCCTTCTGCTCGGGCACCGAGCCCTGGGCAGCCTGAGGGCTGAGGCTGGGGAGTCTTCTCTGCTGTGTCTGTTGTCCTGGCCCTTCCTTTGTCAGTTCTAAGGCCAAAGAAAGGAGAGGCAGGTGCTCGCGTAGCCCCTTGCCCCTCGCCGCACTCAGCACTGACAGTCCCACCCAGCCCGGGATGGAGCTGGGGGTGCTTCCCAACACCTTCTTGTGGCTGCCGGCCCTGGGCCAGCTCCTGTGCCCCCAGGAAATGCTCCCTGGCAGCGCCTGCAGCTTTTGCCACCTCCCGCTGCCAAGCAGCAGCCTGCAGGGCAGTGAGCAGCCCTGGGCCAGAGAGGCCTGCTGGTCCAGCTCGGGAGCGCTCACGCTGGTCCAGGCGGAGATACCCTGGAGGCAGGAAGAGTGGGCTGTGGCTGCCCCTCCCTGCCCAGGCCCTTTCTCCTGTCCCACCACAGCTGAGGGTAGGTTGGGGGTTGGTGAGGGCTCCGCCTTGCCAGCACGCAGGAATGTGCTCCGGGAGAGCACTGAAGCCGTAATCCCCAGCTATTTCCCTTGGCTGACACCCAGGTACTCAGCCGGCCTGCTCCACAGCCAGGCTCAGCCCTGCTGCTCAACCGTGGGCGTTCTGAGAAGCAGCCATCAAGAGGGTCTGAATGGGTTTACAGCAGTCGTGCTGTGGTTCCGTTTCTTTTCTGTAAATAACTAACTATAGATGATACAAATAAATATTATATACAAACTGGCTGCCTCTTCTGCACACCACAGTCCATGGTCTGAGCAGGGCTTTCCTGGATGCCCTTGCTCCAGCCAGGCTGGTGGCTTTGTGCCCACCCCCCAGCTCAGCAGGCCACCCTGCCCACCTTGGCATCCCCTGCCCCACTCCCGCTCTTCTGCTTCATGCCCCTTTCTGAACAGTTACCCTTGCAGTGTTTCTCAGAACAGGGCATAGCCGTTCATGCTCTACCTGGCCTGTCAGCTCTGGAGCCCAAAGCCACAAGCCTGGCACCACGCCACTGTAGCTGACAGCACCCCGAGGGTGGCTGTCCTTGTTTTATGGACCTAAGAGCCAGGGGCTTCTCCCCAGCCTGTCCCCTGAATAAACGGAGGAAGGGAGGTCCATCCACAAAGTCATCTCCAGTTTTGCTTCAGTGAAATTAAAAAGAAAGATCATGAGGTCCTTACCCCACAGATTCTCACTTCCTCTGAGTGTGAAGGCGGCCTCGGGCACCGGGGGGTGCTGCTTCCCCACAGCGCTAGCCCGAGAAGGCAGGAAGCGGAGAGCAGAGTCCCACTGTGCGCTCTGAGCCATCTGGGTTGGCCTTCAGGAGCCCCTGGCTGCGCACTGCCCCGTCTGTCCGTCCTGGAGGCCGCTCCAGGCTGAAGCCCCAGGCAGCAGCATCCTCAGCAGGGAGTGCCTGGCTCTGACCCAGTGGCTTGTCCTCAGAAAGGGAGCCGCCCCACCTGGCTGTGACAGTCCAGGGCCCCGGGAAGGAAGGAATCCGGGGTGTCCCGCCCCCACCCTCTCCTTGGTGGCACTGGGACTCTCACCCGTGTTGAGCCCTTCCAGGTGACAGGTACACGTGCAATCACAGGACTCAGCCTGCCCGGGGGAGGCAGCGAGGCCCCTGTTTACGAATGAGGAAGCTGGTGGGGTGGGGGGGGCGGGGGACTGTGGGTTCACTGCAGTGCCACGGTCAGGAGGTGAATGCCCTGACTCGTCAGGAGGGACCAGAGAATACAGAAGTAATGGCGGCCAGAGTCTGTCCCTGGCCAAGTCTGTCCCCGAATAGGGGACAGTAACCAGAAGCCCTCGGAGGCTGTACTGGGAGCGCCTTGGGCAAGGAGTGGAAGTCAATGGGATTGCCAAGGGGATCACCCCTGCGAGCACTGGCACACTCGAAGGCGGCCTGGAGGCGACGGGACTCCAGGGTTGGAAAGCTAGCCAGGAGCCGAGCCCTCCAGGTAAGCTGGCTCTGTCAGTAGCTCACTGTGGGCGTGTCCATTCAGGGAGAGGGCGGGGAAAAGGAGTGTGGAGGGGCTTTTGCTAGGGGGCAAGGAAGAGCTGACAGAAGTCCTGAGACGCTCTTACTCTGGAAGGCATTCTGGGGCCCCTGAAAGCAGACATGCTTTACTGTCCTGGGTTTTTAAATCCCAGCTATGCCGCCTAAGTGCAATCCTGGCCCAGCTGCCCACACACATCTAGGAAATGGGACTACCCCACTGGGGGCTACTGGAATAACTAGATCCAGTTATGCACAAGATCCATTGGGCATGGGGCCCAGAACAGGCCCTCAGTGAACCACACGAGGCCAGCTACGATGCAGGGGAGCTGGAAGGTTGAATGGACAGAGAAGACCAACGAGATACTCGAGGAAACAGGACATGGGACCTGACAGGGAGTGGGGCTGATGGCGGAACTGGGGGGTGGGGGAGAACACACTGTGACCAAAGGTAGGCCTAGAAGGGCTCTCAGTGCTCTTGCTCAAGGTTCATTTCTCAGCAGGAGGAAATGAGCCAAGAGAGCTAATGGGGACGTGGAGAAACAGGAGGCTCAGGGGCCAGGAAACCGGAGGAATTTCAAGGAGCAAAAACGCAGAGCCTGGCTTTACAGGGAAGCAATGATGAGGGACCAAAATGCCAAAGGAGAAAGGCAGGCTTCTTTCAGGGCCTTGGTTCTGGAGCTGCAGGGCCCTGACTCTAAAGCGGAGGGGTGGGGCAGGGAGCAGGAAAGGGGGTGGGAGGGACACAGTGGGGGGTGGGGGGGTGGAAGACCCCAGGCAGCAGCTGTAGCAGGCACCCACCCTTCCCGGAGGGCCTCGCCTAATGACTGCTTTGAGGCCCACAGTGGTTTCAGAGGTTCCAGGCAGCAGCACGTGGGGTGGGAGCCTCCTGCACAGGCCCCACTCTTCCTTCCAGCCAGGCCCCGGGAAAGGTGCAACAGACAGGTGGCAGGGACCTGCAACCATCTTTTATTACGGATTTTAACCAGCACCAGACCAGGGAGCAGGTGTGGTAGGCAACCTCCTAGGCGTAGTACTGCAGGTTGGCTTTCTTCTTGGCCTGCACCTCCAGGATGCCCTCCATGTAGTCCTCGTGCGTGAGTTCCGTGGCACCCCTGCGCAGTGCGATCATGCCCTGCACCCAGGACAGACAGGCTCTAGGGTGCCTTCCTGCACCCCTGGCCCGGCTCCTAGAGGCCTCAGCCTTCTGAGCCTCTCCCCCGCCCAGCAGTCTCCACCAAACACCCCATCCTGTTTAGGGAAGGGGGGCAAGAAGGCATGAAGTAACCCACTCCCCCATGCCACCACTCACCGCCTCCACACACACGGCCTTGCACTGAGCCCCATTGAAGTCATCCGTACAGCGGGCCAGCTCCTCGTAGTTCACATCAGGACTGGGGGGGCGGGGGGGGGGGAACAAACACCACAGGACTCAGTTACTTATGGTTATGGGGAGGGGCGGGAGAGGATATCCTCCCATACTCCCCATCAGGCAGTGAGGTCCACTCGTCCCGTGACATCGGCAAATCCCTCCCTTCCCCGCTGTGCCTGTTCTCTTCTCAGTATGAGATACAGCATACAGGGCAGGTAGGTCAAAGCAGAGAACAGATTATTTCTGCGTCTTCTGAGCTCTAGCCTTCTAGAAATCTGCACCTGAGATTCCAGGGACTGACTGAGCCTGGGGCGGGGGAGCACAAGGATGGCTGTCTCCCCCTTTCATCGTGCAGGCCCTGCATCAGCACAGCGCTTCCTTGGTCTCTCTTGTGCCGAGCACTTCCCTGGACGCACCACAACCCCATGAGGTCAGTGCCATTACCCCCAAGCACCAGACAAGGAAACTCAGGCTTCGACGGGTAATACCACCTACTGGAGGTCACACAGATCTGAGTCTAAGTCCACCTGGCCCCTGGCTGGACTCCCCAGATCCATGCTGGGCTGTGCTCATCCGCTGGGCTGGGGGAGTCAAGGAACTGAGGGCCCCCATCCTGTGCACCTTCAGACCACGGGGGAAGAAGAGGCAGGGTGATTCTAAGGAGCAGAGCACCCAGAATTGGGGCCTGGAGCCGAGCAAGATTCTATCTCAGGCTTGTGGGGAGAAACGGAGGCTGGCATGTGGAATAGTTGTGTGTGAACAGGGAGGGGAGAAGGAGTGGGCAGGGATCTGGGGACACTCAGTACGAGAAAGACAACAGAGACGGCTCTGCTGCTGCCCCTTCAGGTCTCAGTGCCTTGCTCATGTCCTTGCTCACCTGACGTTCATCTTGCGGGAGTGGATCTGCATGATTCTGGCCCGGGCCTCCTCGTTGGGCATGGGGAATTCAATCTTCCGGTCCAGACGGCCTGAGCGGAGCAGTGCTGGGTCCAGGATGTCCACCCTGTTGGTGGCTGCAATCACCTGAGCAAGGGGAGAAGCAGCAACGTGAACTGAGGAAGATGGGGCTCCCAGACAACAGTCAAGGCCATGACAAGCAGAGAGGCAGCCCAGGGTCCAGATCAAACAAGGGTGTTAAAGACAATCTTATTTTTAATTCTAGCTGCACTAGCTGGGTGACCGAGAAGGTGCCCTGCCC